TCTAAGACTCATGACCAATTCACAGTCATTTTAAATTAAAATAAGATACTGATAAGGGTGCTAAGCCCCAACTGACGACAAGTTCATGTCATGCACGCGTAGTTGAAGCTGTATAACAGCTAGTCTCTTTTACATGTCCAGAAGATCTTCCTCATTTTACCATTCATTAAAAGAATCTTCTCTTTTTTTTTTGGAGGGGGGGGAGGGGGGGTTCTTTTAATTGACTATATTATTCATACATCTACTTTGCTTATTTATCGTCATGATTTATTTATTTATTTATTTGTTTTGTTTATTTATTACACCTCTGCCTTCATAATCTAACCAAGTTTCAGAGCTCACGCTGGCTTTCAAATCTCCATGCACACTCCCGCTTGTCATATGGAGTTCTGAAAATATAAACGCTTGTACGCTTCAAACTTGAAGCTCAGGTTTTCAGGTTCGGGCCAGAACGAAATTTAAAAAGGGATAATTAAGAAAAGAAAGGACCCTGTAACTATAGACATTGCGTCACTTTGACCGACATACGGGCTTTTTTCTCACCAGGTTTCCATGGATAATGCTGCGGTCGTGCAGATACGTCATCCCTGCGCAAATCTGTAGTGCCGTGTCCACGAGCTGACAGGAGGAAGACAGAAGATTGCACCGCAGACATTCAGATAAAGTACCTAGAAAATGTAATAATATAAATTTGTATTATCATTTTTAATGGTAATATAAGTGACAGATTACAACAAAGTGACGTTTAAGAATCTACAGAAATTGATTAAAAAAATAAGTTTTTAATGAAAATTCAGTCAAGTATGAAGATACCTGAAAAACGCAGACGACAAAAGATGACTGACAGCAGCGGAAATACAACTCCGAAAAAAAAATCGACACAAGGTCCTCTTTATCGATTTTGTGCGACAATTTTAGCCAGGATATCTGAGATAACGGATGGGTAGAAGACAAGCGATTGATGCGAACACAAAATGTAATAAAGAACCCTACAGGACATATGTCATCATAACACGTGTTCTAAGACATTCCAGTCACGTTTTCTGATATGACGGATCGGTAGAATATGCAACAGATTGCAGCCAAAGTCCCATGTGATAAGCATTGAAGCCTACACTTACCATTTAAGTAATTGTAATCAGAATGTCTAGAAAATTGTTCTGATATTGATCCACAAAGAATGAAAATCTTAATAATATCAAAATCGCGTGCTAAATCATTATTGGCTGCTTACATTCTGATTTTACGAAATGTCATAACTAACGTTATATCAAACCTGCTAGGATGTGTGCCTTCCATAAATTAATTACCCTGGTTGAAACAAGCACACTTTTATCAAAGTTAAATTGAAGAAACACTACATGATGACATAACAAATAAATGGAATATTTCTGTATTGACAGAGTTAGCAAGGTTTTCAGGAAAATTAAGAAATACGAATTTATTAGCAAACGTATGACGTAGACTCTGACGCTATATCCTTTCATTGATGTTTGTTCCTTTTTCGCAGATTTGGGGTAATAACAAATGTTCTTCATGGACAAAAGCACTTACCGTAATCTGATGACTCTGTTATCAGATGCATCCGATCGTCTATCCTTCCGACAAAGATGAAACTAATAATGTTTGGATGTTGTAGATTACTGAAATAGAGGTTAAAAACACTCTAAGTTTAAATGTGCAAGTATGGAGAGAAACTCGCGGAGGAGTATTTTGGTTTAAGGACTTTTTTCTCGATTTTTTAGTTCTTCGAAAAGATTCACGAAACATATATAAAACCTCGGTTGATAAAGTTAATTGTGTAGTTTAAAAAGTTCACGCCCTATAATGTCTAGCCTTCTCAAAACGTATTTTTCTCAAGTATTCAGATATGATTGAACAGTCCGTTGTTTGACTTATACAAGAATGATATCAACGTGTGCACAATAAAACAGCCTTCTCGGATGAATATGCAATCGATGCAATTGTATTGAAATGCCAAGGTTTAAACACCCCAAGTTTCAGCGTCTACCGGAAACTCACATGTGCTACATGTATTAGAGTCCGTTTTCATTTTCATGCTAATAATAAAGACGGCCTTCTAATAGTCTTTAAAAATCAGGGTGATGTAAACCCATTAAGCACGCTTTTAAGGCTTCTTTAATGCACAGTAAGATACACACGACACTGGCGTGCAATTGTAACACGGAGAGAGAAATATATAGATGGAAGTAATACCTAAGTATGAAACCCTGTTTTAGAAGAGGCTGGATGTCCTCCCTAGCAGCGTCCCGGTGAAGGCGGGTGATTCGTACTGTCTGCTGTCCATACTTCCCTTCAAGATGTTCCTATAGAAATAAACATACAGACAGCATGAGATAGAGAGGCTGACGGACAGGAGACAGACGAAAAGACAGTGACAAATAAATTACAATCAAAGTAATCACTTAAGTGTACTTGAGTAAATAACTGAGTGAGAAAAGAAAAGAAAATGTTTTACTAAATAATTCTAATTAATCTTAGAAGGAAAGAAATCGAAGCATTAATTAGGAGAGCAAAACTGAGACATAAAAGTGATGTATATTACTGAACTTACCAGGTTAGGGCACTCCATCTTCGTCACTGATGACGTCATTATGGTCAGTCTGTCGACTATTTTCATCTCTGTCGAGAACAGAAAACCTGCAAATGCAAACATTCATTAAAATACATCTGCTAGCAGATCTCGGATGCCGATCAGTATCTAGATTTAAATTCATTGCTATTCTAAAATGCACTGACAATGCCTGTACTGGGTATTTTCACTGGCAGACATAGATTTCACTCAGCAAATACAAAATAACAGACGAGGGCAATCTCACTGAATATGGATGAAAAATGATGTAGTTTTTCCTCATTCTGCATTTTTCCTTTTTGGGGAATGGGGTTAGCCTTATCCTTGGGTACTGTCAGTGCACATAATTAATATTCGGCCCTGGCGGAGGGTAGAGGGATGTACCCTAGAAGCCAAGGTGGGTGAGGGGTGGTATGTGGCCCAATGTGTCCCTCTGTATACTCCGTTGTATTTCTTTATACAGAAAACAATTCGATACAACAACGAATGGTTTTAGAGCCATAAGTAACTTAGTAACATTACACGACAAAAAAGGGTGTGGTAAAACATCTCCATCTTGATAATTTCCCATAAGGCGCGTCTGGAGAAGCCGTGCAAATGTCAATTCTTCCACGCCACACAAGCATACAGATAAAGGTATATGGCAGACACTTTTCAGACCCGTAGCCAGCAATTTCGGGGGGGGGGGGTCGTTTTCTGAAAAAGTGGACCTTTTACCATAAAATTCTCTAGTACATAGAGTGGACCTTTTCCCAGCAAAATGGGTGCTTCTTTCGAAACCCCTGAACCCCCCTGGCTACGGGCCTGCCTTAGTAGTTTTCTAGAATATTTTCTCGTTACAAACCATTGCCATTCAAACCGAGCAGTGTACTTAACGCTTACACATAAATCTACCTGTCACAAACCGAGTGCAGTGTTATTTGAAGTATGCTCTTGAGAATATACAATTTATTTAATAAAAAGAGACAGAATACCCATGTATGTATATGAAGTAGAAGGTATTGTCCTTGTGCATAGTTCAAGATACAACAGAGTGAATACCCTAACCGTATTATCCACACTTACTCGAGACTGCACTTAGACCTACATATATACATATTGGTGGAGTCTCTCGTTTCAAATTCATTTTACATTGTTCGGCGAAAGTGCGGCGACATGCAAGGGTCTTGCACTGACGTTACATATGCGATGTTGCTGTCGCGAATGATCTTATCATACATGTACATACCTTTCACACTTCGGTTTCATGCACAAAATTTTTTACTCCACAGTGTCGGCAGTGGTTCAATATTTCCACACACCAATTAGTAAACAAGGTGTTCAGTAGGCATTCCATCCAGAAGTCACTCTCTATGAACCTTTATGAACCCAATACAACTTCGACCATCGATCTGGTCTTGAAAACGATGGAGTACAACGATGATGTAATGGCTAATGTTAACGAACTAACTAGAGCAGCGGAGGCATTGATTTATTATTCTGAAACGCATATTAAATCACTTCACCAAGCGACTGCATGAAACAGAGGGCAGTAAAAAAAAAACGTAGGCCTAGCATCGATATGGGCAAAATTGTCCGAAATGTTAACGGGGTTTCAGATTAGTGACTCTTCTCTTATTCTATCACTTGCAATTGGCTTGCGAACTCCACTACCGATACTATGGATCCCCATTCCTTAAAAAGTTTTCTTTTTTCCCTTTTATTACTGTTTAATGCTGAGACAGTATGCAAGAAACCAAGGTTTAAAAGGCGAGCAAGTACTTCAAAGACAGTTTGATGTCGGCAGCTGACGTTGCATACTTCTTAAGTTGACATTTAACGTGTGCGACAAGTCAGTAACATTTCTGCATTGCAAGACCAGAGCAATAGACGTCAATAAACTAACATGTTAACATGTCGTACATTTTCAAATATTGTAATCAAGCTTACTGCCTACCTCAAAATCCAACATGCATTTTAGCTATGCAGTCTTAGTTATGAGATTTTTTCTTTAGTGCTAGTACATACCTCACAATCCAGCTGTTGTTGATTCAGTTGTAGTTTCACAAACATCACATTCGGTAATGAAATCTATCTCTCTGATCATAAAAGTCCTGAAAGAAAACTTTAACAGTTAAAAATGTTTGTGTTGAGTTCGACTTTTACTAGCCTCATTTCCTCAAACGAAATTGATAACTTTGGTAAGCAAACGCCTGAAAGAGATACACAACTGTTAAAAGTATATTAAATGTGCATTTTAGGGTCGCTTTATAACACAGCAAACAATTCCTGGCCGGTATGCCTTGGTTATTTTATTTGCTTAAGTTCCTCGCGATTTGCTGTAATATTAAATAGTCGTAAAAGGGGGTTTTGAGCACTACGTGAAAGGCACAATGAAAACGCAACAAGTGCTACAAGGTCCCTCGCTTCATTAAGGCAGCGTTTTTGAGAACAAGGCGGAGGTGTTCTTTTAAAACGCTCACGGTCAATTACTTGTGTAATGTTGATTTAACGACCGTGGAGGGTCTTTTTACACACTAATATACAAGTTTATTATCCTTGAACGGGGTTAAAAAATAACTAACAATGTTCACAAGTGTGTCCCAGCAAAGGTTTGCTGCAATACCCTTGCTGTTCTCTCTCTCTCTCTCTCTCTCTCTCTCTCTCTCTCTCTCTCTCTGTGTGTGTGTGTGTGTGTATGTGTATGATAAACCAAACGACGGCTTCAGGCCAAGCCCTTCTCGATCAGAAAATTATTGACATTAATTTGTCGCTTAAAACGTTTTTTTTTTATTGCTTTTATTTAATAAGTCATATTGTGAGATAACCTGATCTGTGCAATATGTAAAAAATAATTTGTGCAGCAGCGCGCACGCGTCTCAGAGAGAGAAGAATTAGGTAAATGCCTTCACCTGATATTTCCTATCATCTCAAACAATCGCGTGACGTAAATTACCTGAATAAAGAAACTGAATCTGCTGTAGTTTTTTCCCCAACATCATGTGTGCACAAAATTGTGTAGGCTTTAGCTCTGTGTTAGTTATAATACTGAACGGTAATGGACTACCGTTGACGGTCTGTTTTTCTATTGATTCTTCTACGTATAAATAACATTAGTTTCTTTTACAAAGAGTATTGGTTACATATGTTTTAGATGTTGAGCGCAATGCAAGTTTAGTCCTTTATTTCCTGGTATCTGATTTTTTCATACAACATAATAGAATCCTAAAACGGTGTTCATAATTATTATGGACAGACGTTCCCTTTATCTCAAGCTGCAACGACGACATTAAGACATTCAACTAGCAAACAATAAAGAAATATATTAAATAAATAAATAAATAAAAAGAGGGGGCAGTGAGGAGACCATTGACACAAGAGTTATGTCCTTCGAGGCTGATGGATAGAGAGGGTAGTTCCGTGAAGGGAGGGGGGCGGGGCAGTCCGATATCACGAAATGATCAATAGTCGGTATCATCTCGGATTATTGGGGGGGGGGGG